GGTTTACCACAGAGAATAAAACCTAAATAAATGAAATACAAATAAAATGTTTGCATTATTATAGATGCAAGAATGTCTTGTAGATATGTATTTTATCTTCAAAGTCCAAGGAGAAAACTGGGTCACAGCTTTTCCCGAACTTATAAAAAGAGACATGAGTTTGACAGCAGGGGGGGGCAGGTGAAGCAGGTGGAGAGACACAGCATACCCACCGGTGAATCTCCAGAGTTTGCCCAGGATAGCTGATGTTTGGGGCTTCGTGGTGAAGTTTGACCCAACCCTGGAGGGTTCAAGAGGACTTCATATTCAACTCATCTAGTTGTCGGAACAGCTGATTTTTGTTTATTAAATACAGCTTGCTCCACCCACCTGCACTTCTAAGCTGACATGTCTGAGCGAGTTTTATTTTATTGTTATTACAAATTTATCATATTTCTAACCTTTGAAAAATAATTTAAAGAACTCTAAAACAGCATTTTACATCATCCAGTCTGATTTGTTCCACCTCAAACTTGTCCTAAATGTCGATAAAACCAAAAGGATGCTTTTTTCAAATAGGATGTTGGTCCCAGCAGTGCTTCTCCAATTTTATCCTCAAATGGTGTCCCGATTGAGTTTGTTGATTCCTATAAATATTTGGGTATCTTGGTCGACTCACATCTCTCTTTTAAGCTCCATGTGGAAAACCTAGTAAAGAAACTGAAAGTTAAACTGGGTTTCTTTTTCAGAAACAGATCCTGTCTAACTCTGAATGCTAGAAAACGCCTTGTGTCTGTGACTTTCCTTCCCTCCTTTGATTACGGTGACATTATTTACATGAACGCTCCTACAAGAACCCTGCAGATGTTGGATGCTGTCTATCATGGTGCACTAAGATTCATAACTGGCTGTGATTATCGTACCCACCACTGCACCCTGTATTCACTGGTTAACTGGACATCATTAACTTCACTCAGACTCTCTCACTGGTACATTTTCATCTTTAAATCACTTCTTGGTCTGCTGCCTTCATACATCTCCTCCTACATGTCTCTGCGTGAGTGCAGCTACAGCGTGCACTCTCAGGACATTATTACCTGCAGTGTTCCTTCAGTGTGGACTGAACTTGGCAAAAGGGCCTTCTTCTACTCCGCTCCTGTTTCCTGGAATACCTTGCAAAAGACCCGAAGCTCTCGACCTTGACCTCTAAGTGGCTTTAAAAATCTGTTGGACTCCTGGCAAGGACCAATGCAGACATGTTCCTGTTTTTAGTTTTCTACATTCGCCTTATAATCTAGCTGTTTTTGTTACTTTTTTTGCCATCTTATTTGTAAAAAAATAAAATAATCTGTATGCCTTTTTATAACTGTCTATTGTTGTCGCTGTTGTCCATTGTTGTCATCATTCTTTGTTGAAATCAGGTCTCTCTTGTAAATGAGTCCTCGAGGCTCAATGGGATTTACCTGTCTAAATAAAGGTTGAATGAATGAAATCTCTTGTGCATGTATAAGCTCCATTTAGACGTGGGTTTGTTACAGGTGTATTGTACTGTATAGCAGCAGGTCCATTCAATGAGAAGACAGCACGAGGTGCCGCTGCAATGATTTTGACCAGTGCACGTTTTGTTTTAATGCAGATTAAACAGCATTAAGTTCAACGCTCATCTTCTGGTCATCATTAAACATAACGCAGAGTGAACTATAAGAAAAATAAAAACGAACTGACATGTTGATAATATTTGGACCGAGCTAAATTAATATCCGACCAAGTTCAGCACGTTACACAACTGTCTACACCAAACCACACCCACATACACTCATGCTGAGGCACGTTATTGTACGTCCATCCTCACTGGATGAATCCTGGGGCTGTGGGCTGACCCTGGGCTGAACAAAATTTGCCCCAATCAGCCGCAAACCGAGGGGGTGGGGCAAGACGTCTGGCAATCATTCTGAACCATGACGGAACAGTAACAGAATGGGGCTGTCAGAATTTAGCCCTTTAGAACTACCCTGGGATTTTTGCCAGGCAGTTTGAAAACAGTTTTGTTGTAAATTTAACAAAATGTGACAATATTTCTAAAATGTATTTATTTTTAAGCTGTTACTTTTAAGTTGTTTATTTTAATATGTTTATTGTAAATAAATAATAATGTAAATAATAATAATGTAAATGTAAATAATGTAAATGCTTCATATTTTGTCTGAATGGACCCAGTGAGGCATAGACTACATCCTGCTTCGCTTTAACCCACTAGCGATAGCCTTAAAGGGCGAAGCCTATACGAAATAGAACGTTGGTTACGTACTGTAACCCCAGATTCTATGAGTATAGGCACAGCCCTTTAAGCTCTGGGCCTCACTGGTTCCTAAATAGCTGAAGAAAAAAAGCTATTTGGGAGCTGATTACCCGGTCTCACCGTAATTTATACGGACCGGGGGTGAGGCCCACACAGCAGGTGGGTGTGGACTAAAGTTTTCAGTGCTGCGCTGCGCACGAAGGGATAAACCCACAAGTGAAAGCCTGAAAGGGCTGCGCCTATACTCATAGAATCTGGGGTTACAGTACGTAACCAATGTTTTTAGTATTTTACATCACTTTATAATGTAGCTGTTTTTATTTAGATTTATAGCACTTCTTTGATTTACTTTTTTATTTTATATGCTTTTATATGATTGTCTATATTTGTCATCTGTGTTCTTTCTTTAAAACAGGTCTCTCTTGTAAATGAGTCCTCGTGAATCTATGAATCTAACCTGTATAAATAAAGGTTGACTGAATGAAAGAACATGATGAGCCACTGAGAGTTAGTTAACAGATCACAGCCAACAGGAAGATGGAAAGCTGTGCTCTGCAAACTCACCTAATTAATGAACACACAAGGACACATCTGGCAAAGCAACTCAGCAAGAGTTACTCTCAAGTGTTTGAAATAAAGTCAAGGTCCAGAAGGCTCGATTCTGCTCAGACCAGTCGGTGCTAGAATAACTGGGGGTGAAACATAATTAGTGTGCAATAAATGCACACTTCTGAGAACCTGTTTGTTCTTACTATGACCATTGTAATGTTTTCTATGGATTACTTGATTGGACTGCATCTGTTCAAACTTTTAAATGTTAAGAGCAGCCAGGAGACGATTCCTATGAATTTTGGGTCTTGTGCCATTTATGTTTTTAGGAATATTAAGCTTTGTTGAGATTCATTGGGAACATTTCAGCAGGCTGGATTTGGCCTAAATTTAAGCAGTTTAAATACTTCTGCTGAGGCATGCTGACACACAGCTTCAGGCAATGGCATCATGCATTTCATGCATGCTTGCTTTTTTTGGGGGGGGCAGAAAAGAAACTTGTCTTTACGTTTCTGTTCTGTATCTGAACCGATCCAGGACTTATACACAGAGGAACATTTCAAACCAGGAATTTTATGCAGCATCTCACCCCTAATGATCAAAGAATGGCTTAGCTAGAAAAGTGTTTGACATAATTTCTCAATAAAATGTGTTGTTCTTTGGGAAATTGTTTTGATCCTGGTCTAAAAGACTATAAAAGGTACCTGTGTGACAAAGCTGATGGTATGGCTAATGGAAATAAAGTGAGCGTCATCCCAAGGTCGCTGATGGAGAGGTTGATGATGAAGAACTCCGCTGGTTTCAAAGTCGATCGCTTGTGATGGGCAACAAGTAGCAAAACGCAGTTGCCCATGATGGACAGTGTACCTGAGGAAAAAGACAACAAGCTGGGCAAAAGGTTCAAAAGACTAAAAATCAGCTTGTTGTGTGTACTCACAAAATACGCTGTAGAGCGAAGCCATCATGATGTCGTGCTCCTTGGAGATTCTGGAGGCAAACACAGACGATGTATCTGAAGCATTTCCCATCTAAATGAGAAAACACACACTTTGTGAATATTCCTAGAACTGGATGAATACGAGACCAAATATATTGTTGAAATTGTGTTTGCCTGAAGCATCACAAGCCATTTGCTTCATATTTGAAAGCAGATCCATAATAATGCAACTGGTTTAAAATGTTTTCACAGTTTCTGCACTCCAGCTGGGTTCTTGTTCCATTTTTAACACAAAACTTCAAACCCACATTCCAACAAAGTTAAGTCGGGTCCTCTGGACGGTTTCTTTTTGTTGAAACGTTTCGTTTTTCATCCAAAAGATTTCATCAGTCTGAGGAGCCACAACAAACTCAGTGTTGTAAATAGCACCTTCATACAGTGGGTCAGCCAGTTTTCCAGTTTGTCAACCATCAGAGCACCATCAAACTGGTTGAGAAGGTGTTATAAGACTGAGTTTGCTGTGACTTCTCGGACTGATGAAGTCTTTTGGATGAAAGACGAAACGTTTCAACAAAACAAAACCGTCCAGAGGACCTGACTTAACTTTGTTGGATTTTTTTTACCTGGATTATTGAGCATGAACTTTGATCAAACCCACATTGTTTCATTCAACCTTTATTTAGACAGGTAAATCCCATCGTTAGATTGTTAGATGTAGACTAAATGAAAAGCTTATCTTTAAATAATGTTAAAACTGAGAACCATTTTATTATTAAATCCTAATGCACCCTGCAGGGTTGGTAATTAGTCAGAGTTTAATAGGTTGTGCCTTTTAGATTTAACTACAGGTGTCAGAGACTAAGAACAACAATCTACAATTTATCTACGTTTTGTTCAGTTTTCCCAAAAAGTCTGGATCTGCAGTAGTTGCATCCATCAAATACGTAACACAAATGCTTTAAAACTTACAGTAATTAATGATCATAGGAACACCATGTTTGTTCTGCCACAAAGAAGAATTTATAACTGTGCACGTAATTCAGGGCATCAGTAGATTTATTAATTACACTGTTGGTAGAGTTTTATTGGTGCATCCTTGAGATCAAAGTGTGTCTGAAACACTCATGCTTCTTGTTATGAGCCAGACTCCAACTCTAGGCAGTTCAGAATTTCTTTGCACACTGCTGTCTAACTAGAAGTTGATATTTATTCAAAGCATCACTTTGATAGAAGAAAAGAAAAAAAGAATCATGAGACAAAATGCGCAGAACCCGAACGAGCATAGAGAAACATATTTGGTGTTCTGTCAAAAATGATGTAGAGGCATTGTTGGCTTTCAAGGACTTTGGCCATCAGACAGGATAAAGAACGAGACTTCATTATTATGCCTGTCAGCAAAGCTGCCGATGACGGCATGTCCAGCCAGTCTGAGGAGACTCAGCAAAGTCCTTACTTAAGATCACTTCTTGCTCTACAGCGTTCCACATAAGCACAACCAGCAGAAAAGGGGTGTCCATAAAATTTTAATCCTTCTTTCCATGGAGTCTCTAAGGCCCACAGAGTATAAGTAATGACAGCTAATTATGTCTTTTCGGTGAGTTTGTTCTTTTTTAGTCCCGTCAGCTATGAAAACCAGTCCTTTATTATAACTTTGTAAGTGTAGCTTCAGTAATCTGTCGTGTCACCTCACTCTGCTTGCTTACACAATTTGAACTCTTTTCTCAGGCCCTTATTATGACTTACATTACAGACATATTATAGTATAATATAATGATATAATGTACCAAAACAGTCTCTTGTCCAGGCCATAACTTATGATCCGCTCAAGATAATTTAATAAGACTTCATGCACAACTGCATCATCACTAGACGGAGGGTGCTATACTCTTTTGAATTTAATTAAATTCAATTCAGTTTATTTATATAGCACCGATTCACAACAAACTTATCTCAGGGCACTTTACAGGAACATTCACAAACATAAAAGCCGATTAGTAAAGTTCTCTATCTAAGGAATCCAGCAGACAAGTTGAATCTTCACTTTGTCGCAGTCTCCCATCCTGGGCAAGCACAGTGGCAACAGTGGAAAGAAAAACTCCCTTTAACAGGAAGAAACCTCTGATAGAACCAGGCTCAGGACAAGTGACCATCTGCTTTGACCGGCTGGGTTTGAGAAAACAGGAAGGAGAGACAAACACAGAATGGCAGGTCCAGACGTCGATGGAGGTTTACCTGAAAGAACAAAACACGTCAAGGATAGAAAAAGTAATTACAAATACAAAACAGGTTGAGCAGAGTAAGTAAAGACAGTAGCAGAGTGAAAAGTGTGGTCAGTTTGTCCTCCAGCAGTCTGAGCCTATAGCAGCATAACTAAGGGACAGCTCAGGAAACCCAAGCCGACCATAACTATAGAATTTATCAAAAAGGAAAGTCTTAAAACTGGACAATGTGTCAGCCTCACGGACAGAAACTGAAAGTTGGTTCAACAAGAGAGGAGCCTGATAACTGAAAGATCTTCCTCCCATTCTGCTTTTGGAAACTCTGGAACCACAAGTAAACCTGCAGTCTGAGAGTGAAGTGCTCTGTTAGAAAAATATGGAACAATAAGATCTTTAATATAAGATGGAGCTAGGTTGTTGAGAGCTTCGTAGGTTAGAAGTAAGATTTTGAATTCAATTCTGGATTTGACACGGAGCCAATGGAGAGAAGCTAAAACTGGAGAGATATGATCTCTCCCACTAACTCCAGTTAAGACTCTGGCAGCAGCATTTTGGATCAACTGAAGACGTTTTAAAGACGTATTTGGACATCCAGATAATAAACCATTGCAGTAGTCCAGTCTAGATGTGACAAATCCATGAACCAGATGTTCTTCATCATTTTTGGACAAGATGTTTCTAATCTTAGCAATATTACGCAGGTGGAGGAAAGAGGTTTTGGTAATTTCTGGAATCTGAAATTTTCATCACCCCAGCTCCAAAGTCCTTGTCACAAATTAAGATCAAAATTCAAACAAGGTATTTTCTTGTCCGCACTGTACTTCTGATTCTCTTAAGATAGTTCAACAATTCTTGTTACCAATTCTAACTAGACAGCGTGTCACATAATGGTCAAGTTTAAGGTCACAGATCAAGGTCAAATGTTACAGAAGGTCTTTGCTTGTCCAGGTCATAGATTGCTGTATTATTGTATAACAGTCTGTCGACTGGAGTATAACGTGTCGTATGCTGGATTCTTGTTAGAGAAGGTCAAATTTTCAGGACAGCATGGTGGATTAGCGGATAGCACTGTTGCTTCACTGCATGAAAATCCTAGATTCAATCCCCGGATTGTTTGCATGTTCTCCTGTGTTTGTATGTGTTTCCTCCTACTGTCCAAAAACATGGTGGGTTGCCTTCAGGGTCAAGCCTCTCTCGATGGGATTTGCCTGATTAAATAAAGGTAACTATAATAATAAAAGTAAGCTGATCCCTTTTATTATATTTGCTTAAAACTTACAACCAAAATAAATGTTACTGTTTGTCTACAGTTAAATCTAAGCTGCTTTAACTTTTGACAGTAATGCTTAATATGATTTTTACATTTTAAATTAAGCTTGTTAACCCTTATTACTTTTTATACTTTAATAAAATGTCTGCTTTCAGACTAGAACAAACATTAAATAAACTTAAAAGCCACAAATCTCCTGATACATGCTCAATAATCCAGGTACAAAAATCTAAAAAAGTTAAGTCTGGTTCTCTGGACATTCAATAAAAAACAAAACAAAAAAAACTCTAGAAACGTTTCTTCTTTCATTCGTAAGAGGGGGACAGTTGAACAGACAGATGGACATACCTGGACACATGGACACATACAGACATATGTAATATATCTGACAGACAGCTCACCCAGCCCAAGATAGAGATTCTTGCCAGAGGACTGAACTTTGCGGTTGCACCAGGAAGAATTCCTCTGATGGAGATGATCACAACCACAGAATCAGCCATCCGGAACAATAAAATTAAAGAGTGTGAGGCACAAGAGCTCAGAATCAAAGTTTCATCCTGCCTCAGCAATGCCAAACCACCACCTTCCAACATCAGTAGAGAGGAGAGGGATGCACTCACCACTCTTAGCAAGGACAAAAACATCATCATTCTCCCAGCAGACAAAGGAAGGTGCACAGTGATTTTGAACCAGAAAGACTATCATGAAAAAGTTATGACACTCCTTAGTGACTTAACCACTTATGAACCTCTGAAAAGAGATCCAGGAAGTTGTTACAAGAAGACGTTAATAGATTGCCTGAAAATTTTGGAGCAGGACAAGGCTATTGACCGTATTCTGTACCACAGACTGTACCCAGGGGAGGCCACACCTAGTCTGTATGGTTTACCTAAAATCCACAAACAAGGTGTACCTTTAAGACCAATCGTTAGCATGATTAACTCTGTCACTTACAATGTTTCCAAATATCTGGCGTCTGTACTCATCCCTTTAGTTGGCAGCTCAGAACACCACATACAGAACACCATGGACTTTGTGGATAAGGTGAGGGATGTCATCATGGAGACTGATGAAACAATGGTCTCTTTTGATGTCACATCACTCTTTATGTGCATTCCTGTTGATGATGCAGTAGAGGTGGTCAGTTTAAGATTAAAATCAGACACCACTCTGAGCAGCAGGACCACGCTTTCCACAGAACAACTGTGTCAACTCTTGAAACTGTGCCTGCAGTCAACCTACTTCACATATGGGGAGCAATATTATAGGCAGAAACATGGGTGTGCTATGGGGTCTCCAGTTTCCCCTATTGTTGCCGTCATCAGGACTCTGTATCACAGAGCAGACAACATCCCCACTAACTCAGGAGCCAGGCAGAAGGAGAAATCCTACACAAGACAGGCTCTAGAGCAATGTGGATATCCTAACTGGGCCTTCCTGAAAGCAGAGAAGAAACCCAAACAGGACTCCAGTCAGCCAACAGGTGAAAAGGAGGAACCCAGACCCAGACCAGTGGTCATTCCGTATGTTGAGGGAGTATCAGAGAAACTGAGACGTTTATTTTCTAAACATAACGTCCAATTGGCTTTTAAACCCCAAAAT